TTAAATCTTTGGATTATGCAGCTCTGGGCTAGGTTTCCCTAAGATGTATCAGATGGCTGCACCCACACTGCCCGTCACTGAGGAGAGACCACAGTCAAGCCCTATAACTCTTCCCTTGTCCTCCATCAGTAGTATGGATTCTGTCCTTTCCCTGCCAGTGGGCTCCTAGACCAAGAAGGGCTTCATTTTCTGTTGCTCCTAGTTAGACAGATAAGGGCAACATTCATAGTTTTCACCTTCTACAATTCCCAACTCCCAGATGGAATGGGGTTATTTCACACCAAAGAACAATTGGACAGCCAGTCATAGGCATCCTCTTTACCATCAGGTCTTTTGCTAAGTGGCTATCACCCTTCTCATATTTGCCTTCTGTTACTTTATATCAATGGCCCAATGCACCCAGGCTAGATTGAAGTTCTCCTTCAAGGGAATACAACTAACTGCCTTTTTTTTTTTTTTTTTTTTTAGTTCCTATTTTGGTGGCTGAGACAGACTACTTGGCATGGCGATTTTTCCTGTCTTAATTCTCAATTGTAGTTTCCCAGTCAGAAGTGAATGATGGCAAATCACAATCTCAGCATCAAAATCCCCATGTCTCCTGCTTTAATTTCCAAGTCACAAAATAATAGGCACTTCTGACTCATCCCAGAAGGCAGAAGCGAGGGGGGTACCCACTTTCTCCTGGTGCCCAGGTGCACACCCCCTAGCACTTCACACCACTTAAAAGATTCTGCCCAAACTGCCAACAATGTGTTACAAACAAAGCCCTTCCCGAAAATGGATCAAAAACACTTTGTAATGAGTGTAGGATCCAGCTTCAAAAGGGCCAACATCTAACAAAATCCTTAGTTTTGAGTGCATGACATTCAAACAGCCCAGCCCAAATCTTCCTTCCAAATGTTTGCACCAGCAGAAATAGTTTTCTATGCTGACCATACATCTGGAGAATTAGCTTTTATTTACTTTTTTAAATATAGGGTAAATATTCCCTGGATGTTCAAGTTTCTACATTTTAGAAGGAAGAGTTATATAAGGTTTGAGATGACCTTTGACAATTACTGGGTAACTGGATACAAATTTCATTCAGAATAGTAGTTCTGCATCTATGTGGGTGTTTCTCCTCATCTGGAGGCCTTTCTTTACCTCATTCCTCCAACTCCAGCAGATATCCTGGCCAGTCAGCAAAGGTGCTCTGTAAGAGTAGGGGGCATCCAATGCATAGGGCCAGGCACACAGGGCTCAGGGAAAAGCCTTGCTGAAGGAGTCCTGCCATGTGGGGGTAGGGGTGCACCTCACTGCCCCAGCACATTTCTGGGGAGATGCTGATGTCTCCAGATGGCTAAACTTCCTATCCTTATCTATATACCAAATATTCCTTAGACCTGCAACAAGACTCATTAAGCACACCTCCAGCCCCCACATCAATCAGGCACCAAAAGGAGGTGTCAGTACAATTCTTTTGAAAGACTTTGGGCCGCCTCTGGCTCCTTTCCTTAGGCAGAGCCCTCCTCCCTGCCCTTCCTGGCCCAACAACAGCCAGAAAGGGATCCAGAGCTCAGTAGTGGCTCCCAGAGCCTCCTGGGCAGAAGGATTTCTTCCATTGTGCCCTCACCCTTTGGAAAGAGCCCAAAGCCCCATCCTTCCAGACTGGCCTTTTATCCATCTGTAGATTATAATCCTTGCCACCTTCCCACCATTATGCCTTCAGCCATGCTGAGAACTAGAAACTAGCCTGGGATAGGAGTATAACCAGAGGCAAATGGTGCCCACCCCTGGTCCTGACAGCTTCATCTCTATTTCAGGCTTATCTTCCAGAACACTCTAGGCTCCAGCCTCACCCAGGCCTGAGGCGCTGACTTGCTGACTGACTCCAGCTCTTGGCTTCAGTCTCTATAGGAACACTGGAGCTAAGAAAATCGATAGTGTTAATCGGGATGCTCTCTATTGGAGATACTTTTCTAAAAGCAAAACACATGTAAAACACTTAAAGTAGGAACTCTGTAATATGTTTCTTTTGTTACACGACCATCACACGTTTGTCCAGAGTTCTGGGCTTTTAAACCACATAAGGTTTTATGTGATCATTATAAAATCCTTTCATTTCCCAAAGGTAGGGTAGTAAGGATTAAATTTGACTACTAAAGACAGCTTTGTTGTAAATGGTCTCTAATGTCACAGAGTAGCTTGGAAAGGAAGGCTTATTAAACAAATTTCTTGGGTTGCAAATCATTAGAAGCAATCACATGTCATGTTCCTTTGCTTAACCTGAAAGGTATCTATTTAGATGTTTAAGAAACTATGCAAATTAACATTGTTCCCAGTGCCCACAAGAAAGCTGGCTGATCTTAAAGAAAATCCAAGGAGTCCCTTGAAGATGTCAGACTGAACTTGAACATATATTTTTGTGGTTTTCCCACTTCTGTAAAAACTTAAGCGTGGAAATTTCTGCTCAGAGAAGAATGGGACATAATTTATTAATCAGAAGATGGGAACCCCAAAGGACTCTCACCCATCCAGCCTAATGCTGTGTGTTAACATTCTATCACTGTGACAAAATACTTGAGAAACTCAACTGAAAGGGGAAATACGATTCTGGCTCACGGTTTTGGAGGTTCCAGTCTGTGATCTGCTGACTATGTGGCTTTTAGGCCTGTGGTGAGGTGGAAATATGGTGAGCAGAGTGTGGCTGAGGAACACTGCTGGCCTCACAGCAGCCAGGAAGCAGAGAGAGAGAGACCATGAGTGAGGAAGGGGCTGGGGACAAGATATACTATCAGTGATCTACATCCACTAATTTAAATCCTACCTCCTTATATTTCCAGCACCTCTCAATAATGCTATCAAATTATGAATACATCAGTGGATACATTCACAGATGAAGTTAGGACTTTAGTGATCCAATCACCTTCTCATAGTCCCATTTCTGAGCACTGCTGTGTTGGGATTAAGCTTTCAACATTTGAGCTTTTAGGGGACATTCCTGATACAAACCATAACATGCTGTCATCCTACAGAGAAGTCAAGGGTGTGGCAGGACAGTGAAGGGTAGGGTGGAAACAAGGTCTCAATTCTCCCCCTCTATCCTGTGTTCACTGCTGTTCCTCATGTCAAGTCACCTCACTGCTTTGAAGCAATCTTGTATTCCTTTTAAAGATTGGGAGGGAATGTTGGTGAGGGTGAGAATGAAATGTAACAAGAGAAAGAGTCCAAGGAAGCTCTTGATGAAAATAACTTAGGTTTTTTGAAATTATCCTAAAGAAGAGAAGAAATTATAGGAGCAAATTCAGGCAGTGTGGTTTTCATTTTGTTCCCTGCAGGCCCTGAGATACCACATTCTAAGATCCTTGACTACAGCAGGGCCAGTCCTTGGTTGGGGCGATAGCCTTCTTCCTCTTGCCCATTCTAACTCCTGATCTTAGATGTCCCACAGTCCTTCCTTCCTTCTAAGCAAGGGTGACTTAGTCCAGCAGTGGATCCAGTTCCATGCATGTGCCCTGGATGCTGGCATTGCTCTTTGTCTTATCCTCCCCTCCTGATTCTTGCACTTAATGGGCCTCAGATAACTCCATAGACTTTTCTTTTCTAGGGTGGGAAATCAAATTCCCCACCTAATTCCAGCTAGTTTCTTTCTTAAAGGGTAGGAATTCATACTAACATACTATTCAAACTTTTAAAAGAGTCACATTCATGTATTAATTGTAGCTTCAGAATATACTTGTAGGCTCTCTGAGTAGGCACTATGATTCAATCTGGATGTTATTTTCCCTTTTCAATTATTAGGATTCTAGTTCTGATTGGGTCTTGGTAGTAACAGGCTATAATAGGATAAGTGCACAGCGTTGTTATTATTCACTAGTTTCTTGTACTTACCCATACTCACACAGTCTAATAGGTAAGGATGGTCTATATGTCTGTACATAGGACAGATCCTTATAAAGTTCCTTTCTAGATGATGAAAATGAGGATTGGAGGAGTCAGTTGAATTTCCTAAGTCCCACAGTGAGTTAATGGCAAATGCGATTTATTTCTCCTGACATTTGAGTTTAAATGCATATTTGGAACCCAATGTCGAGACGGATTCTGAGGCTGTATCCAGGCTTAATAGAGAAAAGGTGCCTTGATCATCATCCTTCTGTATCCAGGGCCTTGTTCATTTTCTGCCCACAGCTAATTCAAACATGACTCAAAGAAAGCATGGCTTGGGGTGAGGACCTTCAGAGGCTTGATGATAAGTCACTGCGGTTCACTGCAAAACAAACCCTGATGAGGTTCTTCTCTGAATAAGCTTTACTAACCGTGATAACATGTTGGATCCTGCAAGTCACACAACCAGGGTATGAATATTGTCCAAATCCCAACAGGGGAGTTGTAAACTAGGAAGGTTAGAGTCAGCGTTGAAGATCTCTTGCAATTAAGACAAAATCTAGGAGGTCTGTAGAATGGTGCTTAGAACATGTGGTGAGCTTGTAATAGCGACCCTGAAACTGCTAATGAGGGAATCTCCCCGAGGCTTCAGGGTAGCCCTACTCCCTACGGTTATTGTGTATATCAAGTTAGCTACAATGGTGTCCATATTAACATGATTTAACTCCTGACACATCCACAAACCACGCAGCAGCACCCATGCTCCCTGAAAAGCAAGCAAGACACCTCTGTTGCCAGGGTCAGGAAGACCAAGGGGACTGATGGTCAGGGACTGCCACATGCAGCACAGCCTGGCCTGCAGCCTGGTCCCCATGGCCCCAGGTGAGTATGCCCACACAGTCTTCAGATGCAGTCCCAAGAGGGCAGTGTGTCTGCCCTAAACTCAGCGTAGCCCCGCGGGGCGGGACCTGGATTCAGACTTCCTGGTGCACAGCACGCAGGCGCCTCCGCCGCCTATCGGGCGGACTGACAGTGGGACCCAGCCGGCGGCTCTGTGTCAAGAACAGATAAATGAGGTAAAGAGCTGAGATGCGGGAGCAGAAATGCATCGCCGGGTTCGTTTAGCCAGAAGAGTCCTAAAAGGTGGTATGCCCGACTGGCCGAATCGGAGGACGGGTACAAGTTCCCTGAACGCAGCTAGATTGCAGATCCTCCAGCCGGGCCGCGCACTGAGCATGCTCCGACCTCAGGGAGCCGCCTGACGGGGCTAGATTAAACTTCCGTCAGTCCGTGGATCCGCCCCCACGCTGCCCGGGGCAGTCCGCTACCCTACTTCTTCCAGGCCCCTCTTAGGCCTCGCCCCGCTTGGCTTCCAGTTTGCCCCAGCGGCTCCGCCCTCCCCTGTAGGCCCCGCCCCCGGCCCCGGACCAGAAAGGGCTGCCGGACCTCTTGAGTGCTTGCACCTTGGCTCTCTCAGTCCTCGCGGCCCGCACGGTGTGCAAGTTGGTGAGTGTCAGGGTTTTCTCCATCCCAGCACAGTGCGGGACTGTCCGTGGGGAGAGCAGGCTTTCGGAGCCCAAGGGACAGTCACAACCCACGATGGTCGTATAGGCGGGGGCGTCCACCCCTCACTCAGTACTCCCAACCCCTCGCAGGCAGGCCCCACGTGTGCCCAGGTGTGTCCTACCTTCTCCCGTGCCTGGGGCTCGTGGGCCGAGCTGTGCTGCGGTGACGTTGGCCTAAGGTTGGGGTGATGGCCGCTCCAGTCACCCTCCGGATGGCCAGCGCTTCGAAGGCTTTCCTGTGTCCCAGCGCGCCCTCCTGCCTTTCACTGCTGACCAGTGAGTGCAGTCGCTCTGCAGTCCCTTCGGGAAGTTTCCAGAAACCTCTGCTCAGAGCCTTCTCACAGCTAACTTTAAACATGCTCCCTGTGCAGAATCCTGTTTTTCTTGCTTGAGGCAGCACTTTAGAAGAGAGCCGTGTTCCAGGGTCCCCCAGTTATCGTGGCTGATATTTGTATACATTATATCCTAATTGTGTCCATAAACACTTAGAGTAAACAAGTGGAGTTGCAGAACCATTTACACTCAGCACCATAATTCCCAAGTTGGTGATAATACAGTAGAGTAATTCTAAACTATGTATTCCTCACTCATTGGGTTTATCATTTCCTGAAATCTCAGTGGTTTTTGCTCCTGTACTGGCTTTCTGTCATGGAAAACAAAATTTGTTTAAAAACAACACCAAAAAAAGAAAAGGTTTAAATATGTGTGTACACTGTGGTTGGACGATTTAGACAGTTAAGCAACTTTGTGCAGAGAGGGGTCACCCTAATGGGTGGAATACAAGGTTAAGATGTTAAAAAGAGCTACAAGTTAGACTGGTTTTTATTTACTTAAATACATATACTGTACCTCTATTATGGTAGACCTGGTGATTGAATGCCGGACCTCACTCATGTAAGCACATGCTCTACTACTAAGCTGTATCCCCAACCCTGGTTACTTAAATATAAACCCAAGTATAAACCTGTAGCACCTTTGCTAGAGAGACCCTCCTCTTATCTCCCCTGTCCCTGACAGATGATTAGAAGGTAGTTTTGTAATTTTCATGGGTTGCCAGTGGCTAAAAACAAAACAAACAAACAAAAAAAGGCATAACAGGCTGTGGAGGGTAAAAAACTAAAAGAAAACCATGTCAGGAGCCTGGCTGGTAATCAGTATTATGCTAATTCAGATGCATTATCAGGGTACCTGCCAGAACCAAGAACCTGCAAGTTGGCAGGGCCTATGGTGGTAGGGGTCGTTTCTTCCTGGGTTCCTCTTGAGTTAGAATTGGGCAGTTGAGTTGAGTTTTAGGATTCAGGGCCTGGAGGAACCAGGCTTCAAGTACACTGCTTTTCTATGTAAATATTTTTTTCATTGCAAAAAATCTGTATTACAATAGCTGGATTTAACTGATATTAGATACTACATTGGAGTCCTGGTTACTGTCTGAGTCTTGCTCAGTACTAAGATTCCTAAGCCTTCTTTTCTCTCAGAGCAGTATGAGGTTCTCAGGGTCCTGCTTAGAGATTAGGCCCCAAACTGGGGCCTTGACTCCCATTCATATCTCCAATCACAACACAATGCTGTTGGATGTGTCCCTGCTAAGGGCAGGGGGAGCAAGGAGGGCCCAAGAGAACTCCTGTTCCCTACCCTTCCTTAGGAATTTATTCCTGTTTTCTCAGGATCCAAAGCATTTGATTCTCCTCAGTGTCTGTTAATAAAATAATTTACTGAATTGTTATTTTAATTTTGCAGTAGACATTTAGGAGTCAGTGACTCAAACCATTAGAATTCTAAGTCTCCTGTTTTTTGGGTATTAAAACTCTTCAGTATAAAGCTTATTCTTGATAGAAAATAATGGAATCAAAGCAATATTTTCTGAATTCTCTTTGTCGTTGATCATCTGTGAATGTTAGACCTGCTTTTCAACTGGCAATATTCCAATAAATTCATTATAAGTTGAATTACTGTAAGTCAGAAATTCATTGAACATACCTAGCCTCCCAGATATCCTCACTGAGCATCATGCCATACTGTAGAATGCAGGCTCCTACTGACTGGGAGCTGTTGCACTGTCTGCCAGGATTGTAGTATCATATCACAGATCACTAGCCTGGGAAGAGATCCAAATTCCAAATTTAAAGTATGATTTCTGCTGAATGCATAGTGCTTTTGCACCATGGTTAAGTTAAAAAACAGCAAGTCAAACTGTGTATGTTGGGAACTGTCTGTGTTTTTAGTTTGTTTTCACACCTCACTCTGACCTGCCCAGCTCCCTATTCCAACTTGAAGTTCCCTGTTTACTGCTTTCCTGAGGCCTCTGGCTTCTGGCTAGGTCTAAGGTGGGCTCCTGGTGAATACACTGAGCTGCTCAGGCTTTGAAAGGCCCTAGGTCCAGCTACAGCCACAGCTTTCCCTAACCTTCTGTCTCCTGGCTAGGTAGTTTGTGACACAGCTACTTTCTGAAAAATCTGGCATCTTGTTGCAAACTATCATTTAAACAAAACTTGAAGGTTTTTAAATGAGAGGCATTTAAACTATAGTTCCACTAGGTGACTGTGGGTTCTGTGTCAGTTTGTTTACAAATGCTAAGAAACAAGCCAGCCCAACATCCTGTTCTTGGTTTGAAGTGAAAGTGAAATGGGTTTATCTAGGAGTGAGGTGGAGGAGGTTGGAGCTCTGTGGGAGGCTGGTTCTCCTTTGGTGAACTCCATGGATTTTCCCATCCTGTTTGTTCTGGAGTCCTGTCCGGAACATAGGTAAATAAAATTTGGAGACACAATACTGTGGTGTGTGTTTGTGGCATTTGAGTAACTACTGCATATTGTCTGATCTGTGAAAGCAGTCTAGTTTTCATTTGATTTAAAAAAAAATTAACATTATTAAAATGCTTACAGAGAAGGGTTGTAGGATTTGGTACCAGTGATAGAACTCAGGTCCTTGTGCTTGCAAAGCAGGTGGCTGAACCACGGAGCTCAATCCCCAGCAGGGTTGGAGGATTTGAAGGAAACCATATAATGAATATACTGAATGACTTATTTCTTCACGGAACTATTAAAATGATGTGTCTAAGAAGAGGAATTAATTATTTTGTGGCCTTTTGTAATCTTTGAATGAATCATTGGCTTTGTCAGATGTGGCTCATGTCTTCCAGAATGCTGGACATCTCTAGCAGGTAGGCCAGTGGTTTCACTGTACCAAAGTTTGCCCCTGTTAAATAATACAAATGGGCTCCTGGCACAGCAGTGGCACCCTTGGCCACAGGTTCAACAGTCAAATTTGTTTTCTAGTCCATTAATTGTTATCAACAGAGTAGGGGTCCCCAAGGAGCCTGGTGGCCCCTGCATCCCCTCCTAGAATAAACTTATTTGGCTTGTGATATTGCTCTTAAAAAACCAGTTAAAAATTCTACCCAAACGTTTATGGCCGTTAAATTTGTCATCACATGTGTATATATGTGACCATGAAAGGAAGTGTAAGAGAGCTATAAATGTCCAGTATATCCACTCGCAAATTCTCAAATTTTCTTGTTAGAGTAATTTCCTACCCATAACACTTGTGAAATCAGCACAGTATCCAACCTTAGCTCTGTGGCCCATTCCCAGAAGTCCTGGGGTGACACTGAATGTAGAATCTACCAATGGTGTGGCTCGTAAAAGCAGGCACTTGTTAAATCTATTTGTTTTTATTATAGACATCGATCTGCCAGTCACAATAATGCATTTGTGGACATTTTTCTACAAGCACAGCGCTGGTGGCAGTTTTTACTGACAAACTGAGTCTTATGGATAGTAGTTTAGAAAACTCTTACCTTATTGACAGATTAGGCAATTCCAGCACTAGATTATTTCAGCAATACCTAGGTGAGTGAAGAGGGAATGAATCTCAGGACAATATGGGATATGGTGTGTTAAATTTGGAAATAGAATAAGTAGCTGGTAGTTATTTCTTGTTTGTCTTTAAACTTTTAGCTATGTGTTGCTGTCAGTTGAAAGTTCTACAAGTGGAGGGCCAACAGTGTCACCTTCAGGTGAGCTGGTTTGCAAGAGCCACCCTGAACTGAGTCTCCATAATGCTGACAAGTCAGCCCCTTGGATATGTTATTGTCTCTGAGGTAGAATATCCACTGGGAACAGTAAGGTGGTGTTTTTACAAAAGTAGTCTGAGTCCTAATGGCATCAGAATTATGGAGAGTTCTAGTTGCGAAGATACATCATAGGGTCTCTTGGTAGGATCTACAGTGTGAGAACGTGGGAACCTGTATCTTTGCAGGATCCCCAGGAGATTTTGGCATATCCTAATGTTTGAGCACCTCCAGAACTCCTTACGATCACTTGGAAAGGAGTTCTTGCCAACCCAGACAAGCTTCAAGTTCTTCCAGCTGGAGCCACTTATAGCCAGCACTGTTCTAAGCCGTCTGTGCATATAGATCTGTGAATGTATTTGTAACTCCTGAGAGACATGTGGATCTCTTCAAAATACAAATCCAACATGTTATCATAGCATTACAGTTTTTGGTTTTGTGGCTGTGACAAAAGATGCTTACCAAAACGTTGGCATGAGTTCTACAAACAAATGTGTAGCATGGACAGCCATAGTGTATTTTCCTCCTCTGTGTCATTTTGGGTGTATTGTATTCCTTTTTTACCCCTTTTGGTAGATGTATTTTCATGTCTCAGGTGAGCATTAACATTTGAATACATAGCTGGGTATATTTTTCTGGAACTAAGTGGAGTTTTTATATAGTAGGCTGGAATTGTAGGCGGGGAGAAAAATGGATGTAGTTCTGATAGTGGCAGTTACTAGCTGGGTGACTTAGGGCAACTTTTAACCGCCCATACCCCAGACACCTCCTCATCTATTGCATGGGGATTATCACCTTATTCTGTCTACCTGAGTAAGTAGAAGCTTGTGAAATAATAAGTGAATATTTTAAAGTAAAAAGCACTACATGGATAA